CGATATGCCCCAATTGCTCTCCAGTCATTGCACTGACTTACATTTTCTCTTCTTTTCTTTTTTTCTTTCTCTTTCTTTCTCTCTCCTTCCTTCCTTCCTTTCTTTCCCTTTTCTTTTTTTGTTTCTTTTTTTTTTGAGATAGGATCTTACTCTGTTGCTCAGGCTGGAGTGCAGTGGTGTGAACATGGCTCACTGCAGCCTTGACTTCCTGGGCTCAAGCGATTCTCCCACCTCAACCCCCTCAGTAGCTGAGACCACAGCTGCGTGGCATGCCACTGTGCCCAGCTAATTAAAAAAATAATAAGTTATAGAGACAGGGTCTCACCACATTGCCCAGGCTGGTCTGAAACTTCGGCTTCAAATGGTTCTCCCGTTTTGGCCTCCTAAAGTTCTGGGATTACAGGCGTGAGCCACCACACCTAGTTCCAATTGACATTTTCATCAATAGTATATACGTGTTCCAGCTGATCACCACCACCTCTTGGTATTGCCAGAATTAAGCTGTTAGTCTGTTGAGTGGAAATCAATATGCTGACGTGGATTTAATTTGCATTTCCTGATTACTAATGCAAGTACCTTTTAATTAGTTTTTTGGTCTCTTCAGTTTCCTCTTCTGTAAATTCCCTGTTCATATTATATGTATATATAATCATTTTTTTGACACAGTCTCAGTCTGTAGCCCAGGCTGGGGTGTAGTGTCACGATCTCAAGTCACTGCAACCTCTGCCTTCTGGGCTCAAGCAATCATCCTGCTTCAGCCTCTTGAGTAGCTGGGACTACAGGCACAAGCCACCATGCCAAGCTAATTTGTTTTGTATTTTTGGTAGAGATGGGGTTTAATTTTTTGTATTTTTGGTAGAGATGGGGTTTTACTATGTTGCCCAGGCTGGTCTTAAACTCCTGAACTGAAGCAATCTGCCCTTCCTTTGCCTCCCAATGTGCTGGGATTATAGGCATGAGCAACCACACCCCAACTGTTTGCCCATTTTCTTTTCTTTATTGGTATGTGGGTATTCTGTATACATTCTGAATACTAATACTTTGTTGGTCATATGTTGTAGATACCTTCTTCTACTTGGTAGCTTTAGGTTTCACCTTCAAATATATATATTTGAGATGAAGTTTTGCTCTTGTTACCCAGGCTGGAGTGCAAAGGCTCGATCTCAGCTCATCACAACCTCTGCCTCCTTGATTAAAGCAATTCTCCTGCCTCAGCCTCCTGAGTAGCTGAGTTGGGATTACAAGCATGTACCACCATACCTGGCTAATTTTGTAGTTTTAGTAGAGACAGGGTTTCTCCATGTTGGTCAAGCTGGTCTCGAACCCCCCAACCTCAGGTGATCCACCCACCTCAGCCTCCCAAAGTGTTGGGATTACAGGCATGAGCCACCGCACCAGGCTCAAAAAATGTATACATTTTAAACTGAGACGTGGTCTATGTTGCTAGGGCTGGTCTCGAACTCCTGAACTCAAGTGATCCTTTCACCTCAGCCTCCCAAAGTGCTAGAATTACAGGCTGGAGCCACCACACCCAGCCAGGTTTCACCTTTACATGGCGTCTTTGTTTATTTGAGACAGGGTCTCTACTCCCCCAGTTGGAGTGCAGTGGTGGGATCACTGATTACTGCAGGCTCCACTTCCCCAGCTCAAACAATCCTCCCAGAGCCCCTCAGTCTCCTGGGTAGCTGAGACCACAGGCTCAAGCCGTCATGCCCAGCTAATTTTTCATGATTTTTGTACAGACGGGTTTTTGCCATGTTGCCCAGGTTTGCAAACTCCTGGGCTCAGGCAGTACACCCACCGTGGCCTCCCAAATTACTGGATTACAGGCGTAAACCACTGAGCCTGGCACATTAATGATGTCTTTTTGACCCAGATTTTTAATTTTAATGAGGTTAAATCCTCATAAGAAATCTGCATGGTTTATCCTTGCTTATCCTGAGGTTATAAAAGTATTATATATTCCCTAATTTTGGGGTTTTTTTTTTGAGATAGTGTCTCGATCAGTCTCCCAGGCTGGAGTGCACTGGTGTTATGTCGGCTCACTGCAGCCTCCGCCTCCTGGGTTTAAGTGATTCTCCTGCCTCAGCCTCCTGAGCAGCCGGGATTACAGGCATGTGCCACCACGTCCAGCTAGTTTTTATATTTTTAGTAGAGACAGGGTTTCACCATGTTGGCCTGGCTTGTCTGGAACTCCTGACCTCAGGTGATCCGCCCACCTCAGGCCTCCCAGAGTGCTGGGATTACAGGCATGAGACACTGTGCTTGGCCTCCTAATTTTTTTTTTTTTTTTTTTTTTCTTTTCGAGACGGAGTTTCGCTCTTGTTACCCAGGCTGGAGTGCAATGGCGTGATCTCGGCTCACCGCAACCTCCACCTCCCGGGTTCAGGCAATTCTCCTGCCTCAGCCTCCTGAGTAGCTGGGATTACAGGCACGCACCACCATGCCTAGCTAATTTTTTGTATTTTTAGTAGAGACGGGGTTTCACCATGTTGACCAGGATGGTCTCAATCTCTTGACCTCGTGATCCACCCGCCTCGGCCTCCCAAAGTGCTGGGATTACAGGCTTGAGCCACCGTGCCCGGCCATTTTTTTTTTTTTTTAAATAGGATCTGGCTCTGTCACTCAGGCTTGAGGACAGTGGCACAATAATGGCTCACTGCAACCTCAACCTCCCTCACTGCAATCCTCCTAGCTCAGCCTCTCAAGAAGCTGGGCCCACAGGTGTGGGCCACCACACCTAGCTAATTTTTACTTTACTTTTTTTTGTGTGTGAGATGGAGTCTCACACTGTCATCCGGGCTAGAGTGCAAGTGGTGAAATTTTGGCTCACTGCAACTTCCACCTCCTGGGTTCAAGGGATTCTCCTGCCTAAACCTCCCAAGTAGCTGGGATCCGTGCCTGCCACCATGCCCAGATAATTTTTTGTATTTTTAGTAGAGACAGGGTTTCACCGTGTTGGCCAGCCTGGTCTCAAACTCCCGACCTCGTGATTAGCCCCGCCTTGGCCTCCCAAAGTGTTAGGATTACAGGCATGAGGCACTGTGCCCGGCCTTTACATTTTTTTATAGAGAGGAGGGTCTGCCCATGTTGCCCAGGCTGGTCTTGAACTTCACGGGCTCAAGTGATCCTTCTGCCTCAGTCTCCCAAAGTGCTGGGATTACAGGTGCGAGCTACTGTGGCCAGCCTAAAATGTTTCAAGTTTGGTTTTTGCATTAGGTTTGTGTGTACCTGGAATGACTTTTGTATATGGCGTGAGACAGAGGTCCAGTTTCATTTTTCCCCATGTAATCAATTGTGCTAGCGCCATTTATTAATCCGAAACTTTCCACTTATTTTTTAAGGGGGAAAAAGCAACTGTTGTTTTGAAAAAAAATTAACCAACTAAATAAAATATCAGCAATTGAAACTAACAATATTAATATTAATATTTTTATTAATAATTTTTTTTAGATGGAGTCTTGCTCTGTTGCCAGGCTGCAGCACAGTGGCATGATCTCTGCTCACCGCAATTTCTGTCTCCCAGGTTCAAGCTATTCCCCTGCCTCAGCCTCCTGAGTAGCTGTGACTACAGGCATGCACCACCACGCCCGGCTAATTTTTTTGTATTTTAATAGAGATGGGGTTTCACCATGGCCAGGATTGTCTCGATCTCCTGACCTCATGATTCGCCCGACTTGGCCTCTCAAAGTGATAGGATTACAGGTGTGAGCCACCGCGCCCGGCCATATATATAGTTTTGAGACAGAGTCTAGCTCTGTTGCCAGGCTGGATGGAGTGCAGTGGCATGATCTCAACTCACTGCAACCTCTGCCTCCCGGGTTCAAGCTATTCCACTGCCTCAGCCTCCCGAGTAGCTGGGATTACAGGCACCTGCCACCATCCCAGCTAATTTTTTGCATTTTAGTAGAGACGGGGTTTCACCATAGCCAGGCTGGTCTCGATATCCTGACCTCGTGATCTGCCCACCTCGGCCTTCCAACGTGCTGGGATTACAGCCACTGTGCCTGGCTGACAATAATATTATGACCAAATTACGTCTACCCCAAGAATTCAAGAATGGTTTACCAGGCCGGGCGCGGTGGCTCAAGCCTGTAATCCCAGCACTTTGGGAGGCCGAGGCGGGTGGATCACGAGGTCAGGAGATCGAGACCATCCTGGTCAACATGGTGAAACCCCGTCTCTACTAAAAATACAAAAAATTAGCTGGGCATGGTGGCGCGTGCCTGTAATCCCAGCTACTCAGGAGGCTGAGGCAGGAGAATTGCCTGAACCCAGGAGGTGGAGGTTGCAGTGAGCCGAGATCGCGCCATTGCACTCCAGCCTGGGTAACATGAGTGAAACTCCGTCTCAAAATCAAAAAAAAAAAAAAAAGAATGGTTTACCAATAGTTTACTGATGTAACTGATCTCATTAACAGATTACAGGAGAATACCCACGTGATCATCTTAATAGGTGCAGGAAAAGCATACAATAATGTTATACTGGGCCGAGCATAGAAAATTAACACCAAGACAAAAGTACGCCAGATTACAGGGTCTTTATTATGCCGGCGACCACAGAGGACTCAGGTCTCTCCAAACTGTGGCGTCGAAAGGAGGGTGCCAAGACTCTTTATACCCGAAAAACCACCTTGGGAGTGGGGGTGAGGAGCGGGGATGGGGATGAAAAGGCTTCAGACATTCCGAGGGCTAGTGGATTCTGTAAATCACCTCCTGGGCGGAGACGAGGGCTCCAGATATTCCAAGGGCCAGGGGACTCTTGTCATTCCGTTTGTGACTTAAGTGTTTTACAGAAGTCAAGATAAACATTTGTTTACACATTATCTGGGTAAGGTGGAAATCACAGACCTTAGTTACTTATTACAAGTCGCAGGGGCCAACATGGCGTGGGTTTGGACTGCTTGCCTGTCACATTAGGGCCACAGAGAGCAGTTACTGATAAGCAAAGTTTAAGCAGCTTTACATAGTAGTTATTTCGCAGCACAAACTAGCAGTTTTATTTACAGAAGCCAAGGCCAGCAGTTATTGTGAGGAGAATGGGGCAGCCATTACAACTTAATTTTGGAAAACAGCTTTGTCTTGTATAAAATGGCATTGCTCAGGTTCTAACTTTAGGCTAGCTATGTTACAATAAAATACCTATTTATAACTGCTACTATGTTGTTTTTCCTTAAAAATGCACAATGTTTTGGGGAATTAAAGTTCAGAGCAGCAAAAGTCAAACAAATATCAAGTCTGAGCAATAGACCTACTACGGTGCCCATCAGAGTCTGCTCAGATGACTTCCTAAGGTCACTTCCAGCTCTGTGTTTCTGTGACCACAAATAGCATCTTTGGCAAGTCTAGTTTCAGTGGGTCTTTGTCCAGCTCCCGGATTCCATGCAGGGCCTGAGAAGCCCTGAGGAATAAAAGATTAATCCAGTCCAGTGGACTCTGGTTCCTCACCTCCAAGAGCCCCCATTACAGGTCGGACCTGCCTCTCACGCAAAGGATCCGCTGGAGGCAACCCGAGACCGGTTCTCCTGCCCTCATTCCGCCAAGTCTCCGGCTCTGCCCAGGGCGTCCAGCTGAGAGCACTCCGGATCGGTGTCTTTCAGTCCTTCCTAATTTTCCCCTCCTCTGGGGAAAGGTCAGATACACCTGAAGCAAAGTGTGTGTGGGGTGGGGGGTGCATCTGTGCACAATCAAGGGCTTGGCCCTTCCGAGAGCGCCCAGGGGCAAGGGCCTCCTCGGTTCTGGCGGCCGACAGGGGCGACGGGCGCAGGGGGTCGCGCATGGCTGCAGCCCTGGTCCGACCAGAGACAGACAGGGACCCGCAGGCATTTAGTCCAGAGACTGCAGCGACGGAGGGGGGCCAGGGCTGGAATTTTGGGGGAGGACTTGGGAGTGCGGCGAGCAGAGTCGCTTGCTGGCACCTAGCGGGGCGGGTGCAGGGGCTAGGCCAACATGACCTTGGACCAGCGCTCCCTTGCGGTCTTCAGAGATGAGGCTGGGGCTTAGCCCAGCAAGGAGTGAGTGGCTTTTCAGACTCAGTGCTGCGGGAGAGGCGAATGGAGAATGAAACTGGAGCCGTCCTTACAGCCTGGAACGCAGGTGACCCTCTCGCAGGGCTACCCCCGGCCCCACCCAGCCCCTCTTAACACGCAGTGGGCCTGCGCATGCGCCTCAGGAGCCCTCCGCGGCAGTCTAGCGGCTCTGCGCTCCACTGCGCCTGCGCTTGAGTCTCAGGCCCCAGGCCTAGCCCCAGTTTTGAGTTGCGGGAACCCTCAGCTTGTGCGGTCACCCTCACGACGGACTGCGCTTGCGCAATCGCTTCTGTCTCGCCAGGCTTGCGCCTCTCAACCGCTCCCTGCGCATGCGCTAGCCTCTCTTTCATCATTCGGTCAGCGCGCTGCCCTTCCTTCCACGTGCATGCGTCCCGCTCAACGCTTGCAAATGGTCGCCAGCGTCTCTCTGGGACAGCAATACCTCTCCCGCCAGGCCTCTCTTCTGAATGCTCCATTCCCTCCCATTATCTGGAAAGGTCTGAATTCTCATACCTGCCCAGGCCAGGCGTTCCAGATGAGGGATTGCGGACCTGAGTGAAATGCATAAGTGCAGCCACCTTAGAGATTTAACTAAGTCGTCAAATGTTCGAAAATATCATGCTTGTATGTGCAGTGGCCTTAGGTGCTAGGCTCAGAGGTGCGTAGGCAGGTGTTTACACCCAGGGTCGGCCTGTGGGCCAGAGCAAGGTTGCTGGACCCTGGTGTTGCAACCGAGCAAGTACAGAATCTCCACTGAGACAAAAGTAAGCCAATTCAGAGGGTCATTTATTGCCGGTGACCATGGAGGGCCAGTGTTTCTCCAACCCGTGGCCTGGAAAGGAGGGTGTCAAGACCTTTTACGCCTGTAAACCACCTCCTGGGAGGGGGTGGGGTCCAGGGGCCTTTGACATTCCGAGGGCCAGGGGACTTTGGGCATTCCGATTGTTACCTAAGTGGTTCACAGAAGTTAAGATAAGCGTTAGTTTACACATTGTCTGGGTAGGGTGGAAATTACAGACCTTAGTTACTTATTACAAGTCGCAGGGGCCAAGATGGTGTGGGTTTGGAGTGCTTGCCTGTCATATCAGGGTTACAGAGACCAGTTCCAACAGAAAGCCGAAGTATGGTGAGGTATGCAGTTTTATGGGGCATTTCCCATGTCACAGTCCCCCCTTGTTTTATTTACGAGAGTTAAATCATTGATTCCTCCAGCGGGTATCATTTGTTTGTTCTAAGGGCCCATATTGAGACCTTAATATCATTAATTTTGCAGAGTTTACCCTAGATTTAATGAAACTTAATATCATTAATTCTACAGAGTTTACCCTAGATTTAATGAGCAGTTGATTTAGGAGGCAGGGGCTGAACATGAGTCCCAGTAGAAGTAGGGCCAGAGGTCCCACCAGGCCCGTAAGGAGGGAAGTGAGTCAAGGGGACCAGGAAAATATTTTTTTCATACCAGCTTTCTGAAGCCTCTGGAAGTTGTTTTCTGGTTTTGAGATTTTGTCTGACCAGATGAGGCCTGACCTGTTAGCATAAAGCAACTTTGTTCATTAAGGGCAGCACATAACCCGCATGGTTTTAAGAATAACAAATTTAGTCCTTACCTGTTTTGGAGGACCATTTTAGCCAAAGACTTACCCTGATCAGCGAGTTGGGAAATGGAGTTTTCCAAGTGGCCTAAATCAGTATGTATGTGCTGAGAGAGAGTTTTAAAATTTTGGTCCCCGGTTAGTTATAAAAGCTGCTTTTCCAACTGCGGTGGAGCCAGCGATACCTAATTCAACCAGTAGAGGGATGGCAACCAGTCAGGCTGCCCCGGCATACCTGACTCCATCGACCATGAAGCTGCTGCCATCCATATACAGTACCTCCTCCAGATTCTGTAGGACATCAGTGAGGTCCGGTCGAGCTGCATGGAGGACGTCCATCATCTGTTGGCAATCATGTAGGGGCTTCTCTGGCTCGCTGTCAGGTAGCAGCATGGCTGGGTTTAAAACTGTAGCCTTTAAAAACTTTATGCCGGGCTGGTCCACAAGTAAGGCCTGATACTGAACTATGGGGGCATTAACATCCATTTTCCCGGAGCTCCTCGGAGTAGTGACTCCACCACGTGGGGTGCCACTAAGTTTAACTCCTGCCCCAATGTTAGTTTGTCCGCCTCCTTGACTAACAGGGCTGTAGCTGCTACTGGCCTCAGACAAGCTGGCCACCCAGAGCCTACGGGGTTAAGTCTTTGTGAAAGGTAAGTGACAGGCCGGGACCATGGCCCTAATGTCTGGGTGAGAACCCCCTTAGCGACTCCCTACTTTTCATTTACAAAAAACCGGAAGGGTTTAGAGATGTCTGGCAAGGCCAAAGCTGGGGCCGTAGTTAGGGCAGTCTTAAGTTTGTCAAAAGCCCGTTGTTCTACTTCTGTCCAAGCCAGAGGCTGATTTCCTCCGGTACAGGCATACGGGGACTTGGCTATCTCGGCAAATCCTAGAATCCACAGCCTGCAATATCCCACTGCCCCAAGGAACTCTCGAACCTGGCGTTTTGTGGTGGGGGTGGGTATTTGCAGCACTGCTTGGACTCGACTGGGCGCCAGTGCCTGGTTGCCCTTCTCTATGATGTAGCCCAGGTAAGTAACTTTCGGTTGGCAGAGTTCGGCCTTTTTAGCTGAGACCCGGGAATCCAAAGTCTGTAGGGTCTTTCATAGGGACTGGGTGGTCTCTTTACAGGCCTCCTAGGTTTTTGTAGCCAAGAGTACGTCATCCACGTATTGGAATAGGGTGCACTCGGGGAGCTCAGCTCGGAAGGTGGCCAGATCTTGGCTAAGTGCCTCATCAGAGTAGGGGAGTTTTTGAACCCCTGAGGCAGTCGTCCAAGTGAGTTGCCCCGAAACCCCAGTATCGGGGTCAGTCCATTCAAAAACAAATATGGGCTGGCTAACAGGGGCCAGTGGGATGCAAAAGAATGCATCCTTGAGATCTACGACAGTGTAATGGTGGTGTTCCGGGCCCAAGAGACTTAGGAGGGTGTACGGATTTGGAACCGTAGATGGACAGTTTCCACTCATTTGTTTGCCTCCCTTAAGTCCTGTATGGGCCGATAGTCCTTTGAGCCTGGTTTTAAGATGGGGAACAAGGGGGTATTCCAGGGGGACTTACAGGTAGTAAGGATCCCTCCTTTTAGGAGTCTTGTTACATGTGTGGCAATTCCCCGTCTGGCTTCCTGGCTCATGGGATATTGTCGTACCTGGACTGGAGTTGCCATTGCCAATAGCTGGACCATGACTGGGGTATGGTGACTTGCCAAGCCTGGGGAATTTGTCTTGGCCCATACTCCCAGTACATTCTCTTGGAACTGGCGGAGGAGGTCTGATGTTGGTGGTTGATCTGCCTTTGAGGATAAAGCTTCCTGCAAAAGATACTCGTCTGACAGAGCACAGGTGATGAGGATTTGCTGAGGTGGCCCTAAAGCCAAGGGAGGAGGAATTGAGAGGCAAGCTTGAAGTTTGTGAAGAAAGTCCCATCCTAGGAGTGGGTATGGACCCTCTGGAATGACTAAGAAGAAGTGGGTGACAGTGCTGTTCCCCAGATCAACGAGTCGGCTGGTGGTCCAAGGGCTTGTTGTGGTTTTTCCTGTGGCCCCCTGGATAATTGTTTTTTTTTTTTAGTGGATAGTGGTCCCAGAGGCTAAGGACCAAGTGGGCCACCGCAGTGTTGACTAAGAAGCCGACAGGTTTGCCCCCAACCCAGTGACCCTCGGCTCCTGGGGGCTTAGTAAATAAGAGCCCCGGCTCCGTCAATCCTGGTTGTGTCTAGCGGGGGCAACCCCCTGCAGGGTTCCCTGTCCATGTGGAATGACTCGGGTTTCTTGGAGGGCTGCTATTACTGCCTTAGAAACCCTTTTATCCTGTGTGGCTTCAGGGGTATCTCTATTATTAAAAACCTTTTGAGCAATTTCTAGCAATTGGGTGAAATTCATTGCTTGGAACCCATCTACCTTTTGTAACTTTTTTCTGATATCTTGGGCTGACTGGGTAACAAAGGCCAAATTTATAGCTCGCTGATTTCCCGGAGCCTCTGGGTCAATAGGAGTTTAAGTGCGATAAGCCTCTTGCAGGCATTTAAGAAAAGCAGCCGGTGACTCCTGGGGACTCGGAGTTACTGTTCCTACTTTGGAGAGGTTAGTGTGCCTTCTGGCTGATCCCTGACTCCCTCTAACAGGTACCAGTGAAAAGTGTTCAGGGCCCGGAGACCCACCGAGGTGTTTGGATCCCACTCAGGACGGGAGGAAGGGAAAATTTCATTAATTTTGTCCCAATTGTCTTCTATTGTGCCCCTCCCCCCGCCCATCCAATGATGGCCTCCTGTTTAATTCTGCTTCTCTCTTCGGTGGTAAAAAGAATGAGAAGTAACTGCTGACGGTCATCCCAAGTCGGGCGGTGAGTCTGCAGAACGGACTCCAGGAGTGCTGTGAGTGCCTGAGGCTTTTCAGAGAATGGAGGGTGCTGAGCCTTCCAACTGGACAAGTCACTTGAGGAAAAGAGATGTGGACAAAGAATGGGTGACCTCGGCTACTGCCTTCCATTGAGGGCACCTCTTGCAGGGGAAGAACTCTGGGTGGGTGTGGGGCCCTGCTGTGGGTATGCAGTGGGGACAAGGGCTGGCCACTGGTGCTGTCCGGAGTGGGGTGTTGAGGTGCTTGTTTAGAAGGCCTAGGGTAAGGTGGGGGCAACTCTTCATCCTCCGCGGGGGCGGGGAGCATGGCTGGTGCTGTAGGAGCCCTCTTTGGTTTTGCTAACATGACCTGTAGCCCAGTCCTTTTTATGCATTTGATTAACCATGGTGGGGGCGTCGAACCAGATCCAGCCACTGATCAATGTATGGGTATTGGTCAGGGTGCCCAGGGGGACTCGTTACATTGTTCCATATTGCTTGGGTGATTTTTGGATCGTAGGTTCCTGTGTTTGGCCACCCCACTCCAAACGACGGCCACTTTAGTTCACACAATGTGCCGAGTTTTCCCGGAGTTAATTTTTCCCCATATTGTCCTGAAAACCCCGCTTTGAAATTGGCCATCATGCACTGAACGGGGGTGCAGGGCCGGGAGCTAGATGACCCCATTTTGTTTTTCTTGGGGGGCCTGGAACTGGTTTTACTATGATTTTTTTTTTTTTTTTGCCAATTCAGATGGAAAAGTTCTGCTGTAGAGAGAGCCAATCCTAAGCAAGACAAATTATACCAAACATAAAAGCTAAGAGATTTTTTCAATTTAAGACTGGCTCCACTGAGGATTTGAACCAGCAACCCTGCAGTTGCAGGCCCTACACCTTCACTACTGTGCTAACAGGCCACTTTCATCAAAGGTAGGCAGAAAGCTTTGTCTTTTTACTTTTATTTTTTTTAGAGTCACCATGTTGGCTGGGCTGGTCTTGAACTTCATAACCTGACACATTCGCCCTACTGCTGTGTCCAGTTTCCATTGGCTGGAACGGGACCTCACATTCTATGCTTGAACCGATTGGCTAAAAACTTGGAAATTTTCTAGAGAATTAAAGGCAGAGGAGAACAAAAGGAAAAGAGAAAGTAACTTGAAGAATGCTTAGAGAAGCGATAATTTCAAATAAGGAAAGGGAATAAGCTTTGACCTAAGACTTTCCTGGGCTTGCCCAGGTGTGTCAGGGCAAATATCTAGGTTAAAGTGTAAGAACTAAGAACACGGGATGCACTTATTTCTTGATTATGACTAACAGCTACTTTAGATTATTAGCAAAAACTTTAAAGTAAATTAACCTTTGAAGAAACTATTATTTATTCATAATGAACTAAGAGGACAGCTTTAAAGAGGAACCTTTTATTTATTCTCATTCCCTATAGCAATAAATAAAATTAGCTACCTCGAGAGGTTAATGGAGAAAAAATGTGATTATTGCAATAGATTCAGGAAATTCATGGATAACATTCACCGTGTATTTACGGGACACCTGTCTTATGAACTTTAAGTGACCTGTGACAACCATTTGAATTAATGCTGCTTTAACAGCCTATCTCTTGGCTTGTTAAAAACCAGACAAGAATCTCCATAACATTTATTTTTAACACCTATATTGAGTGTGAACTTAAAGTTTACCCACTATAAAGGTTTGCAATTTGATGCTTTATTAAATTGATACTATGTACACCCATCACCATGATCTAATTTAAAAATGTTTCCCTCACCCAAGATATATATATATATTTGGACTCTGGCTTCCTTCATGTAGCATACTATGTTTGAAGTTAACTGATGCTTTAGCACATAGTGGTAGTGTGTTTTCCTTCATAGTCTGCTGTGTTTATTCATACAGATAGTGTTTATCCATTTATCAGTTGACGGACATTTTAAATATATATATATATATATTTTTGTGTGTGTGTGATAAGTAATGCAGCTTTGAGCATCATATACAATCATGTAATTCATAATGACATTTTGGTCAATATTTTTTTTGAGACCCAGGCTGGAGTGCAGTGGCACGATCTTGGCTCACTGCAACCTCTGCCTTCTGGGTTTAAGCAATTCTTATGCCTCAGCCTCCTGAGTAGCTGGGACAACAGACACACACCACCAGACCCGAATAATATTTGTATTTTCAGTAGAGACAGGCATTTGCTGTGTTGACCAGGCTAGTCTTGAACTCCTGGTCTCAAGTGATCCACCCATCTCTGTCTCCCAAAGTGCTGGGATTATAGGCATAAGCCACTGCGCCTGGCCTAATTTTTTTTTTAAGAAACAAAAGAACTATTTTTGTAAACCAGCTTTGCCAATTTCTAGTCCTACCATAGTGCATGGCACTAATTTTCACTGTACAATATATGGTATGCCCCAACATGTAAGAAATGATAACAGTAACACATAAAGATTAACATAAAACAAGATTGTCATTGTTGCTATCATCTTTGTCAAATTCTCTAAACAACTGAAGAGTATATTTTTATATAAATGTGCTTGGCAACATAGCTGAAAAAAGCAATATTGATACGATCCAAGATGGCCGTTTAGGAACAGCTCAGGATTGCAGCTCCCAGTGAAAGTGCAGAGGGGACATGGATGAACCTGGAAACCATCATTCTCAGCAAACTGACAGAAGAGCAGAAGATCAAACACCACATGTTCTCACTCATAGGTGGGTGTTGAACAATGAGAACACATGGACACAGGGAGGGGAGCACTACACACTGGGGTCAGTTGGGGGGAAATAGCGGAGGGACGGTGGGGGGTGGGGAGCTGGGGAGAGAGAGCAAGGGGAGAGATGCCAGATGTAGGTGAAGGGGAGGAAGGCAGCAAATCACACTGCGACGTGTGTACCTATGCAACAATCTTGCATGTTCTTCACATGTACCCCAAAACCTAAAATGCAATAAAATAAATAAATGGGAAAAAAAAAAAGAAAAAAGCATTATTAGTTACAAACTTTTATAAGTAACAGAAACATAAATTTTAAGGGGGAAAAATACTTGTTCTAACAACACAACGTCAGAATTAACATAGAAATTCTGCTGGTCACTTTTGAATATTTAATTGCCTGGGGCAGTGTTTTGTAGACAAATGAGCATCTATGGAGCACCTGAAGTCGGGAGGAATCAATGAAACTTGAGTTTCACAAGTTGTCTGGGTTTAGAGCGTGAAACTTTGTTGGAGGACACACACCTTGTGTGAGCGAGATGCCTCCGTGTGTGTGGTTGTGTTGGAGGTACAGCATAATGGTGGCTTCCTCCAGAAAGAGACATTTGGAGTGGCTTCATTCCATCTAGACAACACAGCCTGAGGTGGCATGGCCATGAATGGAGGTGAAATGGACAGTAGCTCAGAGGATCAGTCCTGACAAGGGCCAAGGTGAAAAACCTGGGAGCCCCTTCAGGTGCAAAGTCTTCAGGTGAAAATGGAGGTGGTCGCAGGAAATATTGGGATAGATCAGCAATGCACGGGGCAGAGAGTTCTTGGCCCTGCGGAGCGAGTAGTTTGGATTCTCAAGTTTTCTCCTGTCTCCATTAATTTCTCTTCCAACGCAGAGTTCTTCAATAACAGAATTCCCAACCTCCCTGAGAGACTAGAGGAGCTTCGGCCCACTCTTGAAGGTAAAGGAAGGCAGCCAGCAAGTCTGGCAGCTGGGCTTGGCTGTGTGTGTTTTCTGTTGTGGGAAAATATACATAACTCAATATTTATCATTGTAACCTTTTAACCAAAGTGTGCACTAGTGGCATTCAATATATTCACAGTGTTGCATAACCAACACCACTGTCTACACCCCAAATTTTGATTCTTACAAAACCTTGCATGCAATATATAGCACCTTCTCTTATTTCCAGCCCATGGTAATTCCTATCCCAGTTTCTCTTGTATGAATCTGATTATTCTAGGCACTTCATGTAAGTACAATTATACAAGATATTCCTTTTGTGCCTGGCTTATTTCACTAAGCGTAATGTTTTCAGTGTCCACCTATGTTGTGTCATCTATCAAAACTGTGTTCCTTTTTTACAGGTGGATGATGCACCATTGCCTGCAGACCACCTTGTTTTAGTTACGTTCATTTGTTCACTGAAAGTTGGGTTATTTCCATCTTTTGGTGCCTGTGAAAAGTGATGCTATAAACATTAGTATAGAAATACCTGTTTGATTTCTGTTTTCTATTATTTGGGGTATATACCTAAGACTAGAATTCCTGGGTCCACTGGGAGTTCCATATTTATCCTTCCAAGCCACTGCAAACTGTTTTTCACAGTGGCTGCAACTTTATCCCTTTCTGCCAGCAATGTATCAGGGTTACAATTTCTTTACATCCTTATCCACACTCATTTTCTATTTTTTTTTTCCTGTGGAGTATACAAACTTTATTCTACAAGCAACAAGGGCTTAATACATGTTTTTAAAATAACCTTCTCTTCCTCTTTCTTCCTCTCCTTCATTCATTTTTTTAAAAAATAATTATGTATCAAAACACATCATATATTTATATTATGATGGACTATAAATGAAAAGATTATAATGAAAACTCACTAGAAAAGGCATGTTTTAACACATATGGTACAAACAAAAAATTTAAACATCATATACATTCTTGCTGCAGATCTGAAGTGTTAGTGAGTTCTGGGCACCAACATCAGTGTGAGAGCAAGTGACTTAGGGTCCAGCTGCCCTGGAGGTCCTCGAGAGCTGTCTCTTCTTTCTCATCGCTTTCACAGTGATTTCTTGCCCTTCCCTCTATCTCTGACGCCTTCTTTCTCCCAGGAGCAACAGATCATAGCTTATGGTCTTGATGTTTAATATCCAAGCAGAGATAAGGAAACCTCTGAGTCTCAAAGTACTGAGAGCACTTTAAAAGTGCTATTAAAGGAAAGTCAAAACTGGTTTAATAGTCAACAAAGTTTAAATAACTGTTATCAATCCTGTGTTTTATCTCAGGGCAATGACTTTGTATATTTCTAGTTGTTTTTTTTTTTTCTAGTAATTGTTCTTGAATGGAGGAAATAGAAACTAACTACAATATTATTTCAAAAGACACAGGACCACCACTCCTCTCCCAGCCCTGGCCAATACCAGCATGGTCATAACTCCCCCTCCATTTATCCTTGAATTGAAATAAGTTTAAGTCATATCAGACTGCATTTTTCAGTATTGAGAAAAAGATGACAAAGGTGAAAATATAGATTCTTTTTTGAATGTTTGCTAATTAATACATAAAACATGATGGTTGTATTTAAATTTGAAAGAAAAAAAAAAGATTTTTTACCCTTTGCTTTCCAAAGCAATGTGATTTTTAAATGATTGTTTTATAGATCTCCAAAATATTTTCCCCATCATGTGTGGCTTGTCAGGGATGTGTTATACACAGAATTAGAGAGGGGGGAACGCAAGGTGTCCGGGGCATGGAGAAGCCACCAGCACGGACGGGGTCCTGTGAAAGCCACTACCCTGCCTAGACCCTGGCTTGGGTTTGGAATGTTGGGGAAATTCTGGCAAACAAATCCACATGTTTAAAATGAAAACTTTCACTCCAAGGACAGTGTGTGAGTGTCCTGCGGCTGACATAATTAAGTACCACGAGCCTCCCTTCGGCTTCACGGGCTGCAGGCGACCCTGGCATTCCTGGTAGCTGCATCAGCCCCATCTCTGCCTCCGTCTTCACACTGTTGCCCCTCTGTAGCTGTGTCCTCCCCTCTTCTCAAATAATAATAATAATAATAATTTAAAATAACCTTTACTTTTAAAAAGTTAAGTACATTAGAGGAAACTGAAAAACACAGGAAGCAAAGAACAAAGTCACAAACACAAGCAGTTTATAGTTTGACACGTTCTTCTAGGTCCTGTGTGTCGGTAGGCACAACATCCACTTTTATGGGACTGAGATTGTATAGTATGTATCATGATTTTTCACACATCATGAATATTTACCAATTCAAAATCCCAAAGCCATATGAGCATTTTGATAACCAAAAATACGCTACACCAACTCAGTCTGTTAAAAAAAAAAATGTAGTCCTGTCTTTCTTGGGATAAAAATTTGATAGAAGACAAAAATGGCAACACACCTCTAGATAAAAGCATTGGCAGAGTTCTGATGTAAATACTGCCTTCCCTTAATGCTCAATTTAAAATGAAGCATACAGCAACAGAATACACTAAGTATAATGCTTCTAAGAGAGCTCATTAGGAGATCTACACCATTAAAATATTAGCAAGGTATATTTCCATTGATTTAATATATTCCTATAGTACAGCCACAAGAGATTCATATGTTAATGGCCATCATCAAAACGTAAACATGGACACATCTGCATACATGTCTCCCTTTATAGTTCCTTATTCTTCTGTCAACTATACAGACAATAGTGAGGAATAAAATGCACACAGAACAATGGCTAGAATATGAAAATGTCTTCTAAATATGATCAGTCTAGTATATTCTCAGGTCTTTCAGCTCCATATCATCTGATCCACTCAACAAACGTAGACATATTACTTCTAGAGGCCATCTAACAACTCTGAATTTCCAAAAGTCATCTCCAGAAGACATGTATTTTCTATGATTTCTTTTAAACAAATGAGAATTTACAAGATGTGTGGTTTCCTAACTCTACTTTATCACACGTTGGCAACCTCTTTACATCTAGAAGAGCTAGAGGTGACAAATGTTTTCTATTAAAAGGTTGGGGTGTAGTTGAGAGCAGCTTTTTCATATTATATACACAGGCCTTCCATAAACAACCAGTAAATCTTCCCAGTGAGTGGTGGGCATTTCCAACCGGCCAAAAGTGGCCTGTCATTCTTCTGTTTCTGGCTTCGGAGAGCAAGGTCTGGTAGAATGAAGACTAACCGCCTGATGGCCGCTAACCGTTCCACCCATCGTGGTTCGGAACTTCACTCAACTCCCAGGCCTGTTAAGGCCTTTGTTCGTTGTCGTCAGGACTAGGTAGGTCTCGCCCAATGGGGACAGAGTGGTCACTGGGGACCCGGATCTGCACGGCTCTGTGGCCTAAAGAGGCGGCCGAGCCTGCCTGCGTCCTTAGACCACCCTCCCAGGCCCTCTGTGACCTAACGGCCTCCGCTGCGCAGCATTGGAGCGGCCGCCGTGTTTCCTGGCCCGCCACTCCTGCCGCCACCCAAAGGCGTTGCCTCCCGGAGCGGCTTTTCCTGTGTGTGTATCTTCCTTGGGGAAATACATGTTCAAGTCTTTTGCCCATTTTTAAGGAGTTGTCTGATTTTTATTTAGTTTGTTGTAGATTTTGGGAGTTTTAAAATATATTCTAAATTTTAGTCTCGTACAAGATAAATGATTTGTAAATATTTCCCCCATCTGAAATTGAGATGGGCCTTTAGTCCCATAAAAGTCGTAAAAAGGTGGGAGTAGGGGTGATCTGGAAATCCCTGCTATAATTTTTTTAAGGGAATCTACTGGAAACTATTAGTTTATGTTTTAATTATTTTCTTTATTTATTTAGCACTAGAGTATCAAGCCTTCAGAGCCTTGCTCTGTCACCCGGGCTGGAGTGCAGTGGTGCGATCTCGGCTCACTGCAAGCTCTGCCTCCCAGGTTCAAGTGATTCTCCTGCCTCAGCCTCCTGAGTAGCTGGGATTACAGGCACGCACCACCACGCCTGGCTAATTTTGTATTTTTAGTAGAGACGGGGTTTTTCCATATTGGTCTCAAATTCCTGACTTTGTGATCCACCTGCCTTGACCTCCCAAAGTGCTGGGATTACAGGTGTGAGCCACCGCGCCCGCCGCCATTCATTGTTTAACAGAACTTTGAGATATAATTCAAATATCATAAATGTCACCCACATCCAGTGTACAATTCAGTGGTTTCTAATATATTCACAGAGGTCTGCAAAAGTTACAATTTTAGACATTAATATTTATTGACATTCTTATATGCATGTAGATGTAGATATGATTTTAATATCGTCTTGAATATTATAGTATTTAATATTGTACTTTAGTATCTATGTCTTTATATTGCTGCTCTATTTTGTTATTCTGAATGATGATGATCTTCATGTACCTTTACATAGGTTTAAAATAAACCTTTTTATAACTCAAGAAATTTATTTCTAGTAAATCACATAACAAACACATATGCTATTGTTATAAAAATTCAAATACTGCTTAGGTCTGTAGAATAAAATGTATCGCCATCAGCTCCCAGCCCACTCATCCACATCCACTTACACACAGACAGACATGCCCATATTTTTACATAATGTAATTCTGCTTTGTGTGTTGTTCCCTCACTGGCTTTCCCATATAAAATATAATTTGGTGATCATTGCTTATCAGTACATACAGGTCTCTTTCTGATTCATAGCTGCATCATTATTCAACAGGGTATTTTACCAAAATTTGGTGACTTTTTCACTGTGGAATTTTTATGTTAGATTCAGTTATTTGTTATCGTTCCCTACATTGAACCTGGTCTGGATCTCACTTCCCTCCCTTTGGTACCTCGCAGCATCCTCATCCTCTGAAGAGCAAGGGTTCAGGTAAGTTCCCTGGATGGTGACTGGCAGGGGCAGCTGTCCTCTCACCTGCAGCAATGACTGCCCCTCCCCATCTCAAACACACAAGCTCAGGCGTGCAGGACTGGAGCCCTTGGGGACGTGTGGCCCGAAGATTCAGGACGTACAGGGCTCAGGGCGTGCAGTGGAATGAACTGGGCTTCATCTCTGGAAGGGGAAGGGGCCATCTTCTGGGTTCACCGCCGCATCCCCACCTCTGGCACAGCGCCTCCTGGCGACTAACATCGGTGACTTATTGAAAGTGCTAAGAACGACCCGAGGCCGGGAGAGGCCGATTTCGAGCCGCCACGTGGAGAACCGCTAGGGACGGTGAGCCGGGCCTAGCGGTGGTCGCTGGAAGAGCCGTTAGAGTCGCCCAACGGTTCGGTCCCGCAGGGCGGAGCCGAGCCAGGCGGTGACGTCTCCACTCAGGGCGGAGCCGCAGCTTCGTGGGGACGAGGCCTGGCGCCGGCGGTGACGTCACAAAAGGCGGGACAGTGTCCGAGAATTCAGGCACGTAGCTCAGCGCGGCAGCGGCGCGTGCGTCTGTGTCTCTGCGTGGATCTCCTGGTCCCTCTGCCATCATGCCGATGTTCATCGTAAACACCAACGTGCCCCGGGCTTCTGTGCCGGACGGGTTCCTCTCCGAGCTCACCCAACAGCTGGCGCAGGCCACCGGCAAGCCGCCCCAGGTTAGTTGGGAGGGGACGGGAAGAGGGGGTGCCCACTGGACGAGGGGGCCCTGCGCTGGAGGCTGGGGAGGCGACTCCCGAAGGGGGCGGGAGGACAGGGCGGGAGGAGGTGGCGGCTAGGGCCCGAAGTGGACGCCCGAGGCCCAGCGAGGTGGCTGAGGCTCGCTGACCGCGCCCCTCCCCCGCAGTACATCGCGGTGCACGTGGTCCCGGACCAGCTCATGGCCTTCGGCGGCTCCAGCGAGCCGTGCGCGCTGTGCAGCCTGCACAGCATCGGCAAGATAGGCGGCGCGCAGAACCGCTCCTACAGCAAGTTGCTGTGCGGCCTGCTGGCCGAGCGTCTGCGCATCAGCCCGGACAGGTACGCTGGGGCGCGGAGGGGCGGCGGCGCGGGGGACCAGTAGGTGGCGGGGCCGGGGACTGACTGAGCCCCCCGCTGAGTCTGGCTTTCTCCCTCCGCAGGGTCTACATCAACTATTACGACATGAACGCGGCAAACGTGGGCTGGAACAACTCCACCTTCGCCTAAGAGCCGTGCCCAGCCTCTCCCTGCACTGTCTGCACTGGCCCGACCCGGGAACCCGCCTCGCCCTGTATTCTAGGCTCGCCCGTCTCCACCTTCTGGTGGGGAGAAATAAATGGTTTAGAGAAAGTTTCTGCTGTCACAATGGCTACATATTCACTCATCATGGAGGCATGACAGGGACATCTCACATCCTCAGAGGCATGATTAATCCAAGGAACGCCGTGGGAGGGGAGGAGAGAGCAGGTGGCCTGTGCCTCTGCTCAGGTCTTTAGAGAAGCAGAGGAGTCACACTCCACTCACCTCGGCCTCCCAAAGTGCCGGGATTCCAGGCGTGTGCAGCCGCGCCCAAACGTAACAGAAGGCTTTACAGAAGGCCAGGCTTGGGTGGCTGAGGGGAGCGGAACCTAGGCTCAGGGTTCCAGGGTGGACAGAGCCTTGTAACCAATAACTCTGCACCTCCCCCATCCACCTGCCTGTAAACGCTCCTTACGTTCCCTAACACAGCTGTTTGCAGTGAGTGGCTCTGGGTGGGAGAATCTGTCCTCTGGCTACCCTTTGCCCATCAAGAAGGCTGAGGAAGGTGGGGCTGAAAGGTCTAAGCCTAGAAGATCTCAGACTCCTTCCCAACTCCTCCTCTCCCTTTTCCAGCCTCACCTCTGGGCTCCTCACGTGCTGACCTCTAGGTAGAAGGGATTCAGCTATGGGTTCCTGCCCAGAGTCGTGAATCTGCCTCAAGCGGGCAAAGCGCCTTAGATACCGAGTCTGCAGCCCAGGGCAGGGTGCCAATTTCTCCTCATCTCTTCATACCCCAGAATATGGAAACACACTGGGGCTTCCCTGTTGGGAGGTAGGAGGGAAAGGCTGGACAAAAGGGCTACCAACCCAGCCCTGACTCCCACCCCCAACACCATTCCAGCCTGGCTCCCGGGTGTCCCGGCTCTGTACCAATTCCTCCAGAAAACCAAGGAACCCTAAGGCACTCCTGAAACCTACGAAATGAGGTTAAAGGCCTGCTAGGCTGTGCGTCTGTTGCAAACAGTGGCCCTGAGGGCAGTGAGGGTCACCCTGTAGGCCAGGAGTCTTTATCAGCAGGTGACAGGGTGCCACCAGAGCGATGGAGAGCAAGGCTGCATTATAGGCCCCACACCTGTCTGTCCCACATCTCAGGGTTTTAAGTGTTACTTAGAAACACGTTTCCAAGGCCCACCCTGCAGGTCCCTGTAAGGCTGGTTGCCTCGCGGGGCGTTTGGACACGCCCATCTCCCTCCCCGCTTGAAAATTATATTAGAATATGCCCATCATCTAGCTCCACCTTGGAAATCCCCTCTCACTCCGCACCTAGCCCCACCCTTGGAAATCCCCTCTGCACTCCGCACCTAACCCCACCCTTGGAAATCCCCTCTGCACTCGGCACCTAACCCCACCCTTGGAAATCCCCTCTGCACTCGGCACCTAACCCCACCCTTGGAAATCCCCTCTGCACTCCGCACCTAACCCCACCCTTGGAAATCCCCTCTGCACTGGCACCTAACCCCACCCTTGGAAATCCCCTCTCACTCCGCACCTAACCCCACCCTTGGAAATCCCCTCTGCACTGGCACCTAACCTCACCCTTGGAAATCCCCTCTGCACTGGCACCTAACCCCACCCTTGGAAATCCCCTCTCACTCCGCACCTAGCCCGCCTTGGAAATCCCACCTACCTACCAATAGCAGCTCACCCCGTCCACATCCTGTTTCTCCAAATCCAATCAAACGCCTTCACTCCCTATAAAATCCCACTCCTGCGAGGAGTCCAGCGTTACTTCCCTGGCTCCTCTACCTGGGACCACGGACTTCCCCTGGGAACCTCGCCTGGGAGCTGAATAAATTGGCATGTAATTTTCCTGTGCTGGCCTCAGTTTCCTCGTTTTTAACTCGGCAATAAACCTACAGAGAATAAACTTTACAAGTGGTGCCGAAACCTGGGAGGAAGTTGTACGACCCCTCCTGGGGGAAACTGACTCCAGGGAACTGCTCCATCGCAAGGTAAGACTTCTGTTACCCACAGCCTCTCCCGCTGCCTGCCTCGTGGACTCCCTGCTCGCGATCGCGGCTGCGTCAGGGACTCCTTCTCGTTTCTCGCCATGGGTCCGGGGCCCCAGCCTCCTCTCGAGGACCTGAGCGTAGCGGAGACGTCCCTACTCTCTTGTCTTCTCCCCGTGAGGGGATTCCGGGGGTCAGGAATTTGAGGGAGACGTCCCCATCTTCCTGAACCCTCTCCAGTGTTCGGCAGGGCAGTCCGGGCCGCCTTCCGAACATCTCCGCAGCAGCGGCCGAGGTTTAGGTATTCAGAAGCCCCGTTTGTAAACCTTGCCTAACAGCAGGACCAAATCTCTGGCTTACGGTACTAAAACATGTATCTCAAATTCTCAGATCAGCCCTTTTGCCATATAAGCTCTCCTTAATTAAGTAACTCTTTTCTTTCTTCCTCCTCTCCTACGAAGGCCTCACCCTCTCTTTTTCTTTCTTGTCACATTGTCACATTGTTACAGCCTGTAAGCTCTCTTAGCCACCCCACCCCCACCCCCGGGGGCAGGAGTACTTCTGCCTGTGTTGGGTATAAGACCTTCCCATATTCGTTTCTAACCCCTAACTACCCCACAGGCTCATCATCTGCCCACCTCCTACTGCTACTCCTAACCGGTAGCTCGCCTGCCTTAACCCCTTGCCTCAACCCCCATCCCTCCTAATGAAGTTAATCCCGAGTATGGGATACCTCCAAGCCTGTGGTGGCCAGACATCACACACCAGTTAAAATACTCCTGAAGGACTCTACCCATTTTCCCTCACGTCCTCAGTTTCCCATCTCAAAAACCCACCGCCAGGGCCTAAAGCCTATCATCACCCGACTTCTGGCCCAGGGACTCCATATCCCCACCAGTTCCCCTTGTAATACTCCTATCTTACCCGTCCGAAAGCCGACCGGCGACTACCGCCTAGTTCAGGACCTGCACCTCATCAACGAGGCGGTGGTCCCCATCCACCCAGTGGTCCCCAGCGCATACACTACTATCCAACATTCCCTCCACTACCTCTCATTTTACGGTTCTTGACCTTAAGGCCGCCTTCTTTACTATTCCCCTTCACCCAGAGTCTTACTTCCTTTTTGCCTTCACCTGGACCGATCCTGACACCAACCTGTCACAGCAGCTCACCTGGACAGTCCTGCCCCAGGGATTTAGGGACAGCCCCCACATTTTCGGACAAGGCTTAGCAGCTGACCGTAACTCCTGCTCCCTCCAACCCAGTCTCCTTCTCCAGTATGTGGATGATCTGTTACTTTGTAGCCCCTCCCTCTCTCTGTCTCAACAACATACTGCCACTCTCCTTAACTTTCTTGGATCCAAGGGGTACCGGATATCTCCCCCTAAAGCACAGTTATCAGTCACCTCAGTAGTCTACTTAGGCATTCGCCTCACCCCCAAAACTAAAAGTCTAACAACCTACCGCCGGCAGGCACTTCTTTCACTGCAGACTCTGGAGACTGCGGACCAGATACTCTCCTTCTTAGGATTTGTAGGATACTTCCATCACTGGGTACCTAACTTTGCCACTCTAGCTAAACCTCTATATGTGGCAGCTAAGGACACACCCACGGGACCCCTCTTTCATCCTGGAGTTGTAAAACAAGCTTTCAGAACCCTACACGCTGCTCTGCCCACGGCACCTCCACTTCAACTGCCTGACCTTAACCATCCCTTCCACTTGTTTACTGACGGGAAACAAGGGATTGCAGCTGGAGTCCTAACCCAACCCCCAGGTCGCGTGTATCATCCTGTAGCATACTCATCAAAACAACTTGATGCCACAGTCAGGGGATGGCAGCCTTGCCTGCGGGCCCTGGGGGCGGCAACAGAACTTACCAAGGAATCCCTCAAACTTACCTTAGGCCAGCCTATCTCGGTGTTTTCTCCTCATCGACTGACCTTCTCTCTCACAAATCTCTCGCTCACCTAGGACCCTCTCGCCTACAGGAGTGTCATCTACTCTTTATTGAAAATCCGTCAGTGAGCCTTCATTCCACTTCTCCACTCAACCCAGCTACTTTGTTTCCCCTTCCATCCCATTCCTCCTCCCCAGCCCATTCCTGCCCTGAAGTAATGGATACATTTGCTAAGCCTCGGCAGGGCGCGTCTGACCTTCCCTTATCTAACCCAGACCTTACTTTTTATGTAGATGGGAGTTCAATGGTGACAGCCGAGGGGCGGCGAAAAGCCACCTATGCGGTAGTCACAGACTCAGCCACCCTCGAGGCACACCGCCTCCCTGATGGAACCACATCACAAAAGACAAAGCTCATTGCCTTAACCCGAGCTCTCACGCTAGCACAGGGAAAGCGAGCAAATATCTATACTGATTCAAAGTATGCTTTTCTTATTACCCATGCCACACTGCCCTCTGGAGAGAGCGGGGATTCCTTACTACGAAAGGATCCCCCATAATTAATGCTACCCAAATCTCTAATCTCCTGCAGGCCCTATCACTGCCCAAAGACGTCACTGCCGTCCACTGCCGAGGCATCAGGCCCAGCAGGATGCTGTTTCCCGGGGCAATGCAAGGGCAGATGCGGCAGCAAAATCCTTAACCAGTACCAGGCCAGCCCCCACTCCAGTCCTGTTTCTCTCCACGGCCACGCCATCAATTTACTCGCCATCAGAGAAACAGGCCCTCATATTAAAAGGGGGAACCGAGTCTAATCAGGGTTGGGTCTTTCTGAACAACAAAATCGCCCTACCCCAGGAACAGGCCCAAAAAAATCACTGCTGAAATACACAATCCTTACATATAGGGCCTAAAGTGTTGCACCGTTTCGTGCAGCCCCTCTATTTCTTGCCAGGTCTGCAACAGACAATTAAGCAAGTACACAAGGCATGCGTTACCTGCTCTGAGGTCTCGCCTCAGGGAAGCTTAAGGCCACAGTTTCCTACCCACCAAATGCGTGGCCATCTGCCAGCCCAAGACTGGCAAATTGATTTTACCCATATGCCCACGCACAAAAAACTCCACTACCTCTTAATCTTTGTAGATACCTTTTCTGGATGAATTGAAGCCTTTCCCACCTCCAGGGAAACCACAGCCGCAGTTCCCCTCCAGACTGGGCTCAACCTGTTACAATCTCCCATGGGGCCTGACACCACCTTGATGGGTATCCCCTTGTTCAATGTACATTCTCAAAGTCTCTCTCTCTGCTATGGGTCAGCCAGCAGCCCCAGCTTCAGGTGCAACACCACGGCAAAAGTAAAATCCTCCTTTTCCGCGCCTCCAGGAGGATACTTGTGGTGAAATGGAACCCTAACCAAAGTTATTAATGCATTCCTCCCTTTCCCTTGTGTGCCCGTCACACTAGTCCCGCAGTTAGAAGTGTACGGACAAGCTGAGTCTCTACCCCTTTTCACACTGTCCCCTCATCACCGAAGCAAACGAGCCGTCTTCCTCCCAATAGCAGTTGGCCTCTCTTTAGCATCCTCTCTAGTAGCAGCTGGAATAGGGAGTGGTGCCATGGGCTACAGCATCACTTCAGCCGCCCAACTGGAAGACAAGCTCCGTGTGGCTATTGGAGCATCAGCTGCCTCTCTAGCCTCCCTCCAGCGACAAATCACGTCGCTGGCTCAGGTAACTCTCCAAAACCGAAGGGCTCTAGACTTATTAACGGCAGAAAAAGGAGGTGCCTGTCTGTTTCTCCAGAAGCAGTGCTGCTATTACATCAATGAAACAGGACTTGTGGAAGAAAATGTCAACACTCTATCGTCTCCAAGAGAACCTCTGCAAGAAGCAGAGTGCACCAGCCTCGTCTCTCCACTGGTGGCAATCCCCCATGCTTACCTGGCTGACTCCCATTAT